TTATTAAAGAACTGGATTATGCTGAAAGAAATTAGTAGGCTTGAGCTCAAAACCAGTGCTTAATGTTGGCATAATTGGAAAATCTTCTTGTTTGGGTACATGATGAACACCAAATGTGTACCATAATACAATATCCTTGTTCTTGATTTCCCTATCCCTGCATTATCGTAAAAGAAATAATCCAAAAAGTTAAAATTAAAGAGTTGTCAGAATAGGAAAGAGACGTTCTTTTTAAAACAGACTAAAAAGGAAAGTACGACAAACGAACTGAAACAAGAGAGTGATTTATAGAATCTATTGTGCGTATTACCTGAGGCTCCACATGGCTAATGTATCATCCCCATGGCTTTGATCAGTATATAATCCTCCTGCCCATTTCTCAGACTTGTTATAAGGTGTCACCCACACATTGTACTTGGTAAAACCTCCGCGGATCTGTGGATAATCATCGTCACTTAACAAAGGATTTGTTGCAGATCCTCCCGGGATCAGACAGTAGCCTATTTCATTCCCAACCTCAGTCTTCTTGTTGGGGTTCACCACTACCATTTCAAGGGCGCCTCGTGATGAACCTAGCTGAATCCTTGCATCTGATTCTGTTTCAGCTGTTTCACTAACAACTGCCCAATAACTCTTTCTTGGTGAACTTTTATTGACCACGCGTCTAGTTTTTAAGTTATTTTTCACAAAGGAATTTTCATGACCGTCTATGTCTAAATCGAGGTGATAGGTAAAGAAATGATCATGATATGCACCTAATGTGTTTTCTGCTATTAGTGTACCATACACTTCCTCTTTTATCTGGTCATTGTGAGTATATATAGATCCCCTTACTTCAAGTAGACCAGTTAACCCAACCTGTACATGACAATGAATTCGGAAAAAGTTGATACTTAGTGTAAGCTACGCCTAAAACAGACGTTTTACTAGTCTTACTCATGACCGTGGTTTACTTACCGTGACTTTGATGGTGCCACTTTGTTTGAATTCATAGTCAGTAATGTAATCATAATTCCCTACAGTCGATACCATTCTCACCACCAGGCTCACCTCCGGTCTAACCTTTCGTATCTGCAGCTCCAAATTTAGAAATGAAAGAGAAGTACTAACAAATCCGAAAACAATTTATCAAAAAAGAACTTTATATTCTATACTAACTTACAACTTTTCCAGGAATTGCAAGCTCTGTATGGCGCCACATGATATCTCCAGCATAACGTTCGAATATACAAATTACATTAGGCATTTTTCCTGGAGTACCATCTTGTGAAATGAAGTAGCCATCAATAAACTTCGCGTTCTCTGGACAATCCTTTGATGCTTCAAGCTCTACCGCACATAGACCAAATCCATATTCACCTGCATCGAAATAAGTCCTATAGTACCATTCTTCAGTTAAATCTATGTATGGCACAAAAACTTCAGACACAAATCCTCTGTACATTACACTCCGAAATT